ACAGTGTCACTATTCAGGGTACAGTGCCACCATCCAGGGTACAGTAGCACCATCCAGGGTACAGTGTCACCGTCCAGGGTACAGTGCCACCGTTCAGGGTACAGTGCCACCATCCAGGGTACAGTGCCACCATTCAGGGTACAGTGCCACCATCCAGGGTACAGTGCCACCGTCCAGGGTACAGTGCCACCACGGGGATCAGGGCTCCGAACTCCCCCCAGAGTGATGCCCACACCTCTCCCAAGGGTGCAGGGCTGAGCCAGCACCAGACCCCATGGGCTCCGAGCACCTTCTCCATCGCATTTGCCATAGTTTAAAACACCGCACCCTGCACCCACGCCAGACCTGACCGGGCTGCTGACAGCACAGGATGCGGAAGGCGTAACCCTGACCATCGCAAGGTCCTCTGCACACCGGGCAGATGCCCGGGCTGGAACCTGGAGCCGTTTGAGCTGCTGGGTGTTCACTCACCATGAAGGAGCTGTACGGCGCGGCCCCGGAGACGCTGCTCGGCGGAGGAGGTACTGCATTGGAGGAGGCAGGGAAGAGGCCAACCGCAGCCAGGTTAAGGCCAGGGATGAGGTGAGATTGCAACTGAGGGCGAGAGGAGAGGAATGCTCATTGCTTTTATCAGGACATCCTCCCAGAGAGCTCCCATCGGCCGAGACGCAGGGCAGGACCGAACCCCACTCACGCTCATGGCGGCCACGTCGTTCTCGTAGGCTTCTCTCACTTTCTTCATGATCTCCTGCTCCGCTTTGCAGCAGTTCTCGATGGAGCCCTTCACCGTGATGGTCCTTTCGGGGTTGTACAGAGTCAGGTCCTGCAAGCTGATGGGAAAGCCAGCGTCAGCGCCGAGACCCTGCCCTGCCCGACCCGCGCTACACCGCGTCCTCTGGTCCTTCTGATGGGTGCTATTGGGGTGCCAGGGACACGGGCTGCCACTGCGACCACACACTGGGACTGCCTGGTCCCAGTCAGAGTGGGGACCAGCATCGTGGTTGGCACTGGGAAATCCACCCTGCCTGCACCCAAAAGCATGGCTTAAGAGCAAAAACCCCAGTCCTGGCCATCAAACCAGCCGGTCCTGAGCTCTGCAGCCCTGAAGGGGTGGGGAAGGGACACCCAAGGCACCGGGGGGGGCACCAAAGGGACGGGGAGGTGAATACAGAAAATACAGAGCCAAAAATATAGAGCCAAGATTTTTCAAGAGAGCTCTGGGGAGTAAAGCACCCATGCCACAGGCTGGTTTCTCAGCTGAGGGGCAGGCATCTCTGCCTGCTCATCACATCACCCGTCTCCTCCTCATCCTCCCCATCCACCCCGGCCTGAGGAAGGTCTGCCCTGGCTCCCCCAAAGGGAGCGAGGAGCCTTACGACGAGATGGTGATTTTTGTCTCCGTGTCCTGCTCCACTTTCTTCAAGTTTCGCCCTTCTTTGCCGATCAGGCGCCCCACAAAGTTGTTATGGGCCAAGATTTTCAGAGGCACTTCATCAGCTCTTGAGAGAGGAATGGGGAAAAAACCAACATGAAGGATTACTGCAGCCAGAAGAGGAGGGATTTGGTACAGAGGGATGAGGGAAGCTCAAGTCCCCTTGCTTGGAGTCCCTGGGTCCCCCAAAGCAAAGCTCCTGCACACCTGGGAGCGTCACAGGCGTTAGGATGGCACCACAGCCCAGTGAAGAGCCACGGGTGGGATGCACGGGCGCAGAAAGGCAGGGGGAACCTTACGTCTTGGTGTCCTTGGCCTCCTTCTGCATGATCTCCAAAATCATCTTGCAGGCGGCGGAGCAGCCCTCGGGGGTGGAGTGGATGCTGATGGCTTTTTCTGCGGCTCCCGCGTTTTCTTTCCGGTGCACGTCGATCCTGCAAGCACGGGATGGGCGCTGGGGCGGGGGAAGCGGCTCTGTGGCTTCCCGGCAGCACGAGCGCCGGCTGCTCCGCTCCCCACGAACCGCCTGGAGCTCACACTCGACTGTAAGATTATATGCACCCAGGGAAGGCAAGAGGAGTTAATTCTGGGCTCGATACTCAACATGGGCGCAGCGGCTAGAAGCTCAAATCACAGAAATCCAAATAAGGCATCAGCATCTATTTATTTTAAGCAACAGGAGCGATTAAGTGGTGGAACAAGCACGTGCCTGGGGGACAGGGTGGGCTGTCCATGACTTCACATCTTAGATAAAGCCTTCCTTGGGGGACAAGAGCCGTAGCCAACATAAGCTCAGGGGCCAAACGCAAGAGCAGGCGGGTGAAGCTCAAGAAGCTCGTGCTAAACGAGACCGGCTGAAGCAGCGACCTCCCCACGCGGGTTCCCGTCCCAGCCAGAGCGGCCCCGGCAAAGGGAGACGCGCGAAGTGCAGCCAGAAAGCCTGGCTGGGGAAGGGCATGGGAAGGTGGCTCTTGGACACGCTGCTCTGCGCAGCAGGAGAGCTGGAGCGGCCTCAAATAGCCCGTTCTCCGAAAAAGACGCAGCCTTGCGTATCGCTGCAGACCGCTCGGCTCAGCAAGGTGCAAACCGGCTCGTGGGAGAGCGGACTCACTTGGACTGCGTCTGCTTGGTGATGTTCCTGATGGTGGCCCCTTCCTTGCCGATGATGGCACCCACGTATTGGGTGGGCACCAGGAGGCGGAGGGGGATATCAACCGGCTGCTGCTTGACCGGTGCCCCCGCGGTGACAGGGGAGGCCTGCCTGGGAGCACCGCGTGCCCCGAAGCCGCCCCGCCGCCCGTTCTCCGGCCCTTGCACGGACTGCTCGTCGGGGATATAGGAGACCTTCAGCGCGTGGTTCTCCAGCTGGTGCCCGTTCAGCTTCATGATGGCTCTGCAAGGGGAGAAGGGGTTGGGGTGGGGGTCCCTCCCGGCACGCTCCCACGCCGAGCGGCAGCGCATCAGCATCAGCTCGACCCAAAACGGGCCAAGCCCTCCCTGGCATAACGCCCTGTGAGGAAGCACCGGGAGCGGGGAAAGGAGACGTCACTGACGCCGTGGGGACCCGGCAGGACTTTCCACCCAGCCTGGATGAGCCAAAGTATTTTAAGGGGAACCTCTCCGAGCACCCAGGGGAGGGGATGGGAGCGATGGGTGCAGCACAGGATCGTGCAGGGAGCGATTCCCACGTCTCCTCCGCTTTATGATTTTTGGCTGATATTTCAAATCCCTCTCCTGGCGAGACTTCAGGGACTGCAAGAGATGAAAGCTGTCGATAGATGGGGCTGGCAGCAAGAGCAAAGTGATGGCTTTGGCCACTGCTCTCCACAGCTCCTTCAAACCTCCCTGGCTTCCTACAGAGAAAACCAAAAGTGCAGCTCTCCAGAAAGTGGTCAGTGACTCAACTCTCGCAAAAAAAAAAAAAACCCAAAAAACCACCCAAAAAAACCCACCCACCCAAAAAACTTCTCAAACTAGCTGAATGGAGACTTTCCTGCTAGCAGCCCCGTCCCTGCAGGATGCAAAGGGACCAGAGAAATGCTCGATGAAGCACATGCATCCCCAGAAGAGGAAAAAGCAGGGGAGAAGGGCTGCAGATCTGAGAGCAAAACTACTTGCACAGAACT